AATCCTAGTTGAATTAGATAGTTCAACTCGAGTAAGCCAATGTGGTTTGACGTTGTTATGAGACAATCCAAGTATATTAGTGTTCACCTAGCCCAATTAGTACGAGGCCTTTTGGGAGGACACCCAAAAGTACAGAGGCGGAGGCAGCCCATTTGGGCCTTGTCCCGGGACAGGGGTAAATTTCAGAGGAAAAAAATATGTCATATATGTTTATATTGGTGATGGAACACAACACCTATAGATTATATTAGAGTATTTGTCACTACAGCACAACTCATTACTTGTTCATAAATTGACATAAAATTAATTTATTTTACAATAAACAAAACTCCAATTGCAATAAAGACCTAATTGGATCTCTTTTCTCCTTATGCCTATTCGATCTTTTCACCAACAACCCTGAAATTGTCTAACGACAACGACAATTCTACTAGTTTTGATTCTACCAATTACAACTGCAAGTGTAAAAAGAGTATTTTCACCTTTGTATCATAGTAAGAACAAGCTTCCAAGTCGATTTGGCGTCCAATTTGCTAATACTTGTTTAGTGAGATACATTGAAAGAGACTTATTTAATAGTGTAGACAACCAATATTTTTGTATTTCTTTCACAATATGAAATCCCTTTGTGGTTGTTTATGAAAACAATGACTGTATAGTCGGTTATTTTTAATCTATGAATGAATTAGTTGAATATAATTTATTTTTATTAAATAATTCTTAATTAATACTTATATATTTACATTATGAAAAGAGGAAAGGGATGGTTTGGAATGCTGCCTCCTCCACTGCAAAAGTAAAACCGTGCGGACTTGGCCCAAAGCGGACAATATAGTTCAAATTATGCCTTGTTCAATTTCACACAAAATCCTTATAAACATCAATTTGATTTCATAAGACAAACTCAATTATCGTGCACCTTATCCATAGATTACAAGCGTCAATGAACACTAAACTAATTGAAAACACTTGGTAACAACAAAACAGTAGCTGATGATCAGTGATGTCTTAATCAGCAAAGCACTTTTAAGTTCTATCCTCATTTCATTGGAAACTGTTAACATACATATTATTTATATGAACCCTTCAAATATATTTTGCTTTCTTGGTGAACAAAACAAACCCAACCACAACATTGCCATACAATATACATACAATTGGACAAAGTAATGGAGGGCATCCCTACCCATGAGCTGTAATGTGTCCTTATCTCCCTCTCCATATCACCCATACCCTGGAAACTTCTAATCAAGGATCTAATTTTTATATTGCAAGATTGTGCCCTTTTCATTTGTTTATGTCAATGATGTTCTTCAAATAAAGCAAAGGGATTCTTCTTTCTTTCTTTCTTTGTGCATAGGGTAGGTGTGAGTGGGAGAGGGAATCAGTTTGGTTGTAACTATTGCTGATGCATTATTCCCCTTAAGATGGAAATGTCACATTTCTCTCTTTTTAAGTCCTAATGAGGGACTTGGTTATCCATCCACTACTTCTGTCCCTTCTAAGCTCTATGCTATATTTGGCCCCATGTCTCCATCCAATGTGGACATCCTAGCTAATAGATGGATAGGGACTCAGATGGTAGTGTATTGGCAAGATGGGCTTTCGTAACAGTTCTTTGTAGGAGTCCATCCCTAAGTTGTATTGACAATATCTTCCGTTTCGTCCAAGCCGGATCCGAAGTATCCGCTCTATTGGGGAGAATACCTTCCGCTGTGGGTTAACAACCGACCCTTAGTACCGAAATGGGTACTCTACAAGAAAGAATTACTTCTACCAAAGAGGGGTCGATAACTTCCATTCAAGCGGTTCGTGATTGATAGAATTGATATAAGATTATTCATGCATATTTTCTAATAATTTGAGTTATTGCAATTAACTAATTTTTTAGCAGTACTAGTTGAGTTTTAACAACCTTAAGTTTGTTTGACTCTCGGTGGTAACCCTAATATAGATGTTTTATTTAAACGCATGTATGTGATGGGGTTTATGCAAACTTCAAATCTAGAGATATTAAATTTCGCTGGAGGGAGGTTATACATGAACAGTGTAAGATCCATTTATAAAAGATTGGATGAACAACGATTTATACTTTAGACTGTCGGTAGGATGATCATTATCCCCCATCCAGAGGTCTGAAGTTCAAAATCCATGGCCGACAACTATTACGATGGATGTGATTTTTGACAATTCTACTATGGTTAATGTATACGCTATGCTCTCTAGTCAAAGTGCTCTTTTTTCCAAGGTTCAAAAAGGCGCTAGGCGTAAGGCGAGCGTTGAGCCTTTGCCTAGCGCCTAGCTCGCTTAGGCGTAGACTAAGCGTGCCTAGGCGCTGGAGGAAAATAGCTATTTGCACAACATGATGAATGAAATAATAATCTACAACACTTTCTCACTTCAGTTAAAATGATTAATAACTTACTCAACACTGAATGTCAAAAACATAGCTCACAAATTCATAAAATCATAGCTCAATAGCTCACAAAGTTCTTAAGCTATTGAAAATATTGATATAGAAAATTGATTTCGTAGTTGATGTTAATTTTCTACTTTGATATTGACTTCCTAGCTCCACCTAGTAATGCTTAGGAGAGACTTTTATGTCGCCTTACTCCATCGACGTGTTCTAGTATCTAATTAGGCGCAAAACCCCTAGGTGAGGCGTTTTGCCATTGTCTTGCGCCTAGACGTGCCTAAGCGTAAGGTTAAACGTGCCTATTTGAACCATGCTTTTTTTCTATTCGGTTTGAGGAGTTTGTTGCAATGTTTTCATCTCCTTGTTGGGATTTGGTGCATGATCTACCATCCTGCAAATAGTAGAATTCAAGTTAAGGATTTTGCACATGCCAAGAAGTATCAAAGAGTTGTTCATTTCTTGGGGGGAAAAAAATGTTCTATCTATAGTTTGTCTTGCGTCCATGTCTTCTCTTTTATTATATGTTTTGTGCATGTTGTTTGTAAATACTTTATTTTGTATCTATTTGTTCCCTTATGATATTTATGTGACAAAGAAAAAGTGTATCAAATGATCATCCACCGCTTATGAGTAGGGTAGTCAGTTCGGTTTCAATTTTTAATTTACACCAAAATCAAACTAATAAGGTGCATGCTCTTGCCGATTTTTGGTATAGATACCAAGCCTTTTTGTACTTCTCAATTTTGATTTTTGACGTTAGTTAAAACACAAAAATAGATAAGAAACCAAAAACCCTACCCAATATACAAGCATCCATTACATAATACATTCAATTTTTGATTTTTTAAACCAAACCAAAATAATGAGAGGTCTTGACGGTCTTCGGTTAAAAAAACTAAACCGTTAACCACCCTAACAGTTTGGTTCAATTTTATGAAAATAACTTGTTTCAATTTTTAAATTTTCGATTTGGTTTAATCAAACCAAATCATGATCTCACCCCTACTTGCGATGCGAGTATCACATAGTTAGGGTTTCTAACGATTTGGATAATGAAGTAGTGTGCGAGGATTTCTATGGTATGGATGATGAGACATTGAATGGAAGTGGGGAGAAAATGGGCAAATCTTGTTTATTAAACTCCCAACTCTAACGAGACACAACGGGACTAGAGAACAAAACCTTTGGAAAACCTGCCGTATACACAGTAATGATTAGGAAAACGAACTTAATTAACTTATACACTTTTCATTTTCTTCTCTTCCAAAATCTCCACCAAAGGTATGTACTTATCTTTCACCGACTTGCATATCTTTGTCAGCTCCGTTGATATAATAATGTGTGAAAAGGTGCTCATTTTCACTGTTCCTGGTGTTGAATTGGTATTTACACTACATCCTACAACACATTTCATTCCCATCATGTCTTTCAAGAACTTCTTCTCTTCTAAAAAAATATTGGAGGTATATGCATGGCCTATATCGTGTAACATATAAGGGTCGTTTGGATGGAGTATATATATGAGTTATTTGCGAGTTACACAAATAACTAGTTTGGCAGTGTTTTAATGAAATGAGTTATTTGGGCAGTGCAAGTTATTTGTAAATAACTCATACCCCATGTGTTATTTCAAAATAACTCGTTTTACCACTATGCTTTTACCAAATATCACATGTCAAATACCACATTTTCATGGTTCAACCAAACAAGACACTTTAAATTTTTCAATATGGCAAACATTTTTCAAATTACGTTGTTTGTTTTATGACCGTGACACAACAAGTCCAAGTTTTACCTTTGATCACATCGGCAAATTTTATTATCTTACAAGTATAGCCGACATTGTTAACCCCTGTTTCTGTTTGAACGATACTAAGAATGAAAAACAAAGGAACCAACAAAATGCATTCCCTTCGGAAAGAGTCAAACAATGGGAATTCATATATGTTGAATGAAATCTATGGAAATATTTTTTCAATCTTTATCTTATTTAATTGTCCTTAACGATTTCACGCACGTGGTATCTTATATTATTAGTGATAAAAACATAATCATAAACAAATATAAAAAAACCGAGTTTTAAGAAGTAACTGACAATATACTATTGGTAGTTGGTACATCTCTACACAATATTGTTAGAATGTGGCATAAGATCCAGCAAAATCTTCTCCCAACAACTCGAGTTATTGGGACCAACTGGTTTTTGACATAGTATCAGAGCCTCGAATCAAAAGGTCATGTGTTCGAATCTTCACGACCCCCAATATTAACCGTTGTCTTTCAAGCACATTGTATGGTGGGCCTGTGCAAACTTCAAGCCCAACTCGAGTTATTGAGACCAACTGGTTCTTGACAAATATATCATAGTGGATAAAGTTTTTGTTACATTTCAAATTTATTGCAACCATATTTAAAGTAGGAAGATTAATTTGTATTTATAATCATGTACTTATTTGTTATTTACATAAAAGAATTCATCAGTATTGAGATTTGAATAAGAGTCCCATCCATTGTTTCATCAAGCGGTCGAGGACATAATTCCATATTATCGAGTATATATCAAGAACATCACATAACAATCCGCTGCATAAACAACCAATAATAATATAGATGAGATAGTGTCATACTAATTAAGAGAATCGCAATGTTTAACTCGTGGGTCAATATCGGTAAGGTTTCTCCGACTTGGATTTTTTCTTCCACGGGGAAACCTATAGCTAAGCTAGGAACCTAAACGTCGGCGGGAATTGAGAATTCTAATTTCTTTGAATTCAAAATAAAAAAAAAATAATGCTATTCATAAAAATATAGGAATTTTAAACAATAAGAACCTATTAGAGCACTTCTACTATGCTATATAGTATTGGTGCTTTAATGTACAACTCAAAGTTGTACCATAACATTAAATGTATAAGTTTAGGTTGAACCATAAAGTAATTTGTACCATTATGTTATGGTACAATTTTACAACTTGAAGTTGTACCATCACATAAAGGTACAAGTTCAAGTTGTACCATAAAAGAATTTGTACAAAAAGTATAGGTACAATCTAAAGTTGTACCATAACATAAATGTACAATTTTAAGTTGTACCATAAAGGCAAAAACCTATAGCATCAATACTATATAGCATTATAAAATTTCTCAACGTGTTACGGGAAATTATGCTTGTATTCAAATCAATGGAAAATTCATCCGAGTGGGCTGACTGATAGAAAGCCCAAATAAAAAGTGCACCAAAAAGTGCAACCCTTTTCATCAAAAGTGGATGTTCTAATTTCGTTTGGTGCGTGCATTGTTGTAGTTGTATATTGCGTTAGCTTAATAATCATAGTGCGGGATTAACATACATAATTTAATTAGACGCGTCATTAACCTTGGATTAACGTTTGACGTTCCCATATGGCCGCCGGTTAAACTAAACAGAATAGAAAAGGCTAAAAAGAGATGCTGTGCTAACCTAAAACCTAGACTAGCCTACAATTCTGTGCCACATCGGGAAGGACGGAAAAAGTCCTGACGGCAAAGCTCGCCCAGCAGGAAACTATTGTATCTGTTGTTATTATTCCTCCCAAGTCAAAATGTCAATAGGGCATCCAATGCCAAATGATTTCCAATGGAATAGTCAATGGTGTTCCATTTTCGTACGATTTTCTTCATGACATAAACTGAACTTGTACATTGAACGTTATTATTTAAATTCAACTTCTACCTAGAATCACTTGCCATTATGAGCAAGGTAAAATTCCTCCTAATTAGTGTTAAATATCGGACTTCACATCCAAGTTTTATGTTATGTATTCAACTCTCCCTCCTTTCATACTTTCTCTTTTTGTTCATTCAATTTTTTTTTGTCTACAGTTGAATGAGTCCAAATTCAATTAAACAGAGGGAACTGAAGGTACTTTTTTTTGTTTCTTTTAAGTACACAACACATCAGAAGTACACTTTGCTCATATCATATGATTGATTGGCTTTGTCCATTGCCGTATGCATTGTTTCATAATTGAATGATGCCAACCCGCTGGGAATATTTGCCCTCCATTCTTGCTTTTGCCACTTCCGTAGCAGACTTATTTTGAAGCCCCTGAATATGCTGAGTGTCTAATCTAATGCATTCTTTTTTAGTTGCAGGTTGTTGATGTGTAGTAGAGAGGAGAGCAAATATGAGATTGACGAATCCGATAGAACGATACCAAATCAAATCATAGCGTGCATGTCACATTATTACTCTATGATCTATTTGCTAATGAATCATGAATCAAAGCACATTAAATGGGAGTATGAATAAAGAACTGGTCTAACGACGGTACCACTACTAGGTTTCAATTTGGATATTTCGATTTCAAATTCTGACACGGACGTTATCTTTGTTTCCCCAGTTCCCATTTAGCAGGGTGTAAAAATATAGTACTAGAAAGTATAATATTGGAGGGATTAATTGTGTGAACAAACTGATGATGGGATAGTTGTTATACCACTGTAGTCAACTTCTAATCCACGTTGACTTATGATTGCGGTAGTTGAATTGAAACAAAGCAAATTGGTTAACCATTGTCCAATGGTAATGGACAACGATTTAAGTCATGTATTTTTTTTAAGTACAAGTTTTTATAAAGCTAGTGGGCACTATGGATATTGAGTTAGGTCTGACCATACGTAGCTCTTCATTGAGTTAGGTTTGACCTTTTTTTTTTGTTGCATTTCTACTTGTATAAAAAATGAGAGAGCATCTCACAACAACTAAATTCAATTATAAAAACATTAAAAAGGGTAGATACAATATATTAGGCAAACCTTGTAACATAAAACAACAAAAGCCCAATGTAGTTTGAACTGGATCGTTGCTGTGTTGGCCTGTTGGGTCCATGCCTTTTGGGCTTCAGCCCTCCCTTCCCAGAGCCCAATCCCCAATGGTTGAGCCCAACAAAACTGACCAACTAACACCAATAGTCAATTTCCCGTGATGGCAAAATGTTGTCGACATAACAGAACAAAATTCCTTAGTCCACAACGTTCCCGTTTTCTCAATTTCAGCCACAAAATATTTGATTTTTCACCCAAATATGTGATTTCCCGTTTTTTGGCAACCTTAATAAAGTTTCTTCTAACACGTATGTATCTCCTTTATGAATCGCCCCACCGGCCTCTTCACAGAACCAGAAAGAAACTGCGCCAAGCGGCAAGCTCTCACTAGCTACCTCTCCATTTCCAACGATGGCGTCGCTTCTCTCCACTGCCCACTCTTCCCTCTTCTTCACCGCCTCCAAAACCCCTAATTCCACTTCCCCAGTTCACCATCCCTCCTTCCCCAAAACCCTCAAACAAGCCTTCGCTTCTCCTCCGCTCCAATCCGCTTCCAGATTCCCCTCCGTTATCCGCCGGGCCTCCGGCGAAGAATCGGAGTCGGAGAGGGTTACCGATGAATGGGGCGAGAAGCCGGAGCCGAAGCCGGAGTACCCGAAGGCTGCCGCGGTGGATCCTCCCGTGAATGAGGATGAGTGGGAGGAGGAGGGATACTCCGCCGCTGCGGTGGGCAACGGGAGCACTGCTCCGTCGACAGCTGGCGGGAAGAAGGTGGGCGACGGTAACGGGGAGCTGAAGAGGAGCTTGGTGGACACGGTGTACGGTACGGGTTTGGGGTTCCGGGCGGGTTCGGAGGTCCGGGCCGAGGTGTCGGAGCTGGTGAGCCAGTTGGAGGCTGTGAATCCCACTTCGGCGCCGGTTGACACGGCTTCGCTGCTCGACGGCAACTGGGTTTTGTTGTAAGTCTCCGACTTTCACGATTGATTGCTATCCAGATTTTCTTAAAATGAACTGTTTTGGATGCGAGTAAGTTGGATACGCTGATGAGTGATGAGAAATGAAGAGATGGGGTTAGTTTGAACATGACGGAATATGCACTCTTTGCAGTCTGATCTTTGGTGTGGTTTAAGCAAGACGTGATTCTTTCTGCCATTAATCTCTGTTAGCTCTATCAAAGCTCGAATATCAGTATTTGTTCTCTTGATGTTGGATTTCGATGGAATTGTGCCATTCCATCACCCCTATTCATACCAAATGAGCCCTTAGGAGTTCATTTAGCGTAGAATTAGAATCAATGATCTACTTAATACTTTGATGCGTTTGATATGCTGGTTGTACCGCTCTTTATGTTTTCAACTTCCTGAATACTAGGCGATCGAGGTGACGCTGTGGTTATGTTGACCTTGGAGGGCTTAGGCTTCCTCATTTGTTTATGCCTACTATGTGATGAGGCATCATATGTGACACTTCATTTTGGGAATTGCATCCAGCAACATAAGCTTTTGATCTAGACTTCAATGCTATTTGGATGTAATGTGCAGTAATAAACAAATAGCAGTTTTGTGTCAATATGATCAAACGTTGGTCTTACTTCAACTTATAGCATTGTGTTTGAGCAGTCTATTTACATCATCTCCCTAGACGAGTCAATCATATGCTCTGGTCAGTGTTATGTACCTAATCCCACACCTCAAGCCACCTCATGGGACGAGATAAATCTAGGGTTTTCCGAAACCTCATTTTTCAAATCCATGAAGCAAACAAACCCTGAATGTCCATGTTAGTTACCTACTTACCTTGACTCTTTGATCTTAATGGGATTGATTTGGACAAGGTCCACATTTTGAACTGTGTGAACATTTTACCATGCATTTGATTGATCTATTATTCGTTTCCTCTCCATTCGTAATGCAGGTATACTGCAACTTCCGAGCTCTTGCCCCTTCTGGCTGCTGGTTCAACTCCTTTGCTAAAGGTGAAGAGGATAGCTCAGTTGATCAACTCCAGCAATTACACCATTGTCAACTCAACCACATTATCGAGCCCTTTTGCTGAATTTACATTCAGCGCAACCGCAAACTTCGAAGCCCGAAGTCCTTCAAGAATACAGGTAAAGTACAATAAAACTTTGTCCCTTGGAATCCTAGTGGATGATATTATCATGAACTGTGAAGGAAAGTATAGGGCCAGTTGAATCTTTTGGACAAATTATGTTGTTGTAGTTTGTTTGCAATGTCTTTCAATTCTGATCAATATCATTCAACAATTCCTTTCTACTTAGGTTGAATTCAAGGAAGGAACTCTGCAGCCTCCGGATGTAAAAACCAGCTTTGATCTTCCATCCGAAATCGCTCTATTCGGGCAGAAGATCAGCTTGGCCACAGTTCGTCAATCTCTGAGTCCTCTGCAAGACACGGTGGCTACCATCTCGAGAGCCATATCCGGCCAGTCCCCACTCAAGGTCCCCATTCCAGGCAGCCGAACCAGGTCCTGGCTCCTGACCACCTACCTCGACGAGGATCTCCGGATTTCAAGAGGTGACGGCGGCCTTTTCGTACTTGCCAAGGAAGGAAGCCCTCTCTTGAATCTGTAACCAGGCAAATATTTAAGTATATACTCACTCTATTGTGCTACCTGATGAAGTACATATACACGGCTAATCGTTGTTGTTGTTGTGGTTGTTTTCGTCGGTTTGTTTCCATTGTAGTAAATCCGACTGAGGATTTAAGATATCAAATTGGAGATGATTAACAAAACGTTATACTGAAGTTTTTGTTGAATCCCTTGTACCCTGTATACACGAAGATGAAGGCAAGTTCTTGTTTGTGGGTGGAAGAATGGAGCCTGTTGTGATTTGTGTACAATATGATTATGACCACGATAAGAATCAGTCATTGTGCATTACTTGAATCAAAGATATTAGTACGTGTGTTGAGACCTACAACTATTAACGAGATGAGCGAATTGCCTTCTACATAGGTGTCAATCGGGAGTTGTCGGTTAACTAAATAATCCCAGTGATTCGGTAAGATTATATCAAATAATCAATTGGTAACCTAACTAATAAATGACCTCATTTTTCAATTGTGCATTTTTGCAGTTTTTTTTTTACATATGTATGTGTTTTTTTTAAGTTGTTATCATTGAATAGAAAATAATATAACATAAATATAAATCTATAATCAACTCAATCCAACACAAGTACAAAATAACAATATTCTACCGTTAAATATGATTAAAGAAGCATACACGGAGAACTAACAACAATTTTTATAAACCCAATAAAGTTAGGGGGAAGGGTAAAGAAAACTAATTTTTATAATAGGCTTATTCTAAAGCTTTTCTTTGAAATAATTCTCATTTGACCTAAAACATTATTAAACATAGGACAGGCAAAGGATCTTCCAGACCTTCAAATAACACTCGACCGACCATTAAATAATTATGGACCGAATACCTAAAATCGAAAAATTTATAAACTCTATACTAGTTCTGGATTCGGCGGAGTGCTGGGTTGTGACCCGAATTGGCCCAGCGTAGATCCGCCGTAATAATCTTTCACATCGAAAGAAAGAGAAAATGAAAGTATATAGCCGGCAGAGGAAGCTGAGTCGTCGTGGAGCCAATCACGCCAAACATCCCATTCATTCGGTTAAGAGAATACAACAAAAAAAAAGGAGAAAAAAAAGCAAAAAATAAATACTATTTCCACCGTCTGCCTATCTGTACATAATCCCATTCTCTCAGCTTCTAGACTCATTGACTCTTTCCTTCTGCATTCTCTGATCTTTCCCCAAATTTCCCTCTCCCCCTGAAACCGCCGTCACCGGGCGGTTGAACCGAAATCATGACGAGCTACCGGCCGAAGCTGGACGAGGCACAGATCGCCGACCTCCGGGGGATCTTCCGGTCCTTCGATCGGAACAAGGACGGCAGCCTGACGCAGATCGAGCTGGCATCTTTGATCCGGTCACTTGGACTAAATCCAAGCTCAGACGAGCTCAAGGCGCTGATCCAGAGGGCAGACACGAACAACAACGGCCTGGTGGAGTTCACGGAGTTCCTGGCGATGGTGGCGCCGGGGATCCAGACGGAGGAAGAAGAGGAGGAGGAGTCGGCGTACAGCGAGGAGCAGCTGAAGCAGCTGTTCAGGATGTTCGATCGGGACGGGAACGGGTACATCACAGCCGCGGAGCTGGCGCACTCGATGGCGAAGCTGGGCCACAAGCTGACGGCGGAGGAGCTCACCGGGATGATCAGGGAGGCGGATACCGACGGCGACGGCCGCATCAGCTTCCCGGAATTTTCCCGCGCCATTTCGTCCGCCGCGTTCCAGAACGCTTGGGCTTAGATAGAAGAAGATAGCAAGTCAAGTGAAACGACGCCGTATTTTCCTTCGTGATGATCGTCCATGTTCAAAAGTTAGATATTTTTGTCATGTTTTTGTTCTCAAGTTTGTGAAAGATATGATTGCTTGCTTGTTATAAGAACTCTCAATGTTTGCTTAACTCAAAGATGATCCAAGTCGAATACTGTAATGTATCCTCAAGCAGAAGAAGGAAAAAAAAACCCTCAGGAAACATAAATCTTATAGGCTACAGTTACAGAATTGACCGAGTATACTTTGTCACTTCAGGATTCCAGATCACAGGGAAATGGGTGCTCCTGGGATCAGAGCAATTTCACAGATTAATCTCCGGTTGGAAGGTTGTACCCTTTGCCAGTTCCTCTAGTTTTTCAACTATACTCCTGGCAGCTTCACAATAGGCTCGCGAGACGCCAGAATCAGGTGATGATATTACGATAGGGGTACCATTGTCCGAGCACGTCCTGATATCCACTTCTATTGGGATCTGGAAAACCAGAGCAGGAAAAACATATCAGTGAGTTTCACAGACCGATTTTACTTGGCAAGTGATATGTACTACAGCCGTGGAAAATTCACGAAGGTTCAGCACAGTGTGGACACTTGAATCAGCTGTCTTTCGAGTTCCCCCTTTACCGAAAATGTACGAAGGTTCAGCACAGTGTGGACTTGAAGCAGCTCATGTTCTCTATGAACCCTAGAATCTGCACAGAGAATAACGACTCCAATCATTCATCGCTTTATGTCTCAATCATGTATCGGCTCAAAATACCACAATATCATTTGGTGCTTCCATATTAAACATGTTGCTTTAATTATGTTACTCCAAAGTTCATAATTTCACAAGCTATTATTTTCCGAAGAATGGCTACTACTAACTAGAATGGCAACATCTACATCACTCCGGGGACTGAAATTCAATATCTTTGGACTTCAAAAGAGCTAAAGGACATACCGGAACCTCGACTTTAGAGAACATTTAACTCCTCTTCGAGCATCCAGTAATGCAACGTCCTGTGGAGTTGAAACAATTACTGCACCTGCAAGAAGAGAACAGCTATGCCTGGATGATTACTATATTTGTCGCAATTATAAAGCTAAAATCCTAATATTGAAGAATAAGTTTCGGTAAATCAAACTGCACTGCCCGTTTGCCTTCACAAACCTGATAACTGCAAGCTTTGAGTTATAGTAAGCTGAGCATCGCCAGTGCCAGGGGGCATGTCTACCACGAGAATATCAAGCTTTCCCCAACTGACTCCCCTAGTCATTTTCTCAAGAGCACTCATCACCTGCAACAGACATCAACCTTGTCGCTTACTATCAAATATCAATTGAAGAAACACTCTAGGCGTGTTATAAACAATTTACAGGTGACATTAGTAATAAGCACCAGACCGCGTGGAAGTTTTAAAGCGGAAATAATGAAGTGACTTACCATGGGGCCTCTCCAAACAATGGGTGCATCTTGCTCTACAAGAAATCCCATGGACATGCACCTAACTCCATAGTTCTCAATCGGAATCATCTTTTTGTCTGTTCAAAAAAGTTAACAATAAGATGCGAGTTGATTCAGGGCTATCATTTGTGCAACTAAAACTACAATCACTCAAAGCAGAAGGAAGGATGTTACAAAATCAACTTAACCTCCCACTGGATCTTCAATTTACATAACTAGAATACTGTGAGTAACATTTTCTTAAGAAGATTCAGAATCACGAAGTTCTAACTTCTAATAGACAAAATCTTTAGGCAGTTCTAATAAGCTTTTTCTCAGTTATTTTTCCCTTGATAGAATTATGGTCATTGTTATCTTCCGTTAGCACTTCTTTGGTTATTCACACTAATAAAGGCACTCCCCTCTCTTAACGGCTTACACAATTTAGAAGCATATTGCATTGTTTAGCTCACCTTCGTCAGTTAATATAATCAGTGTCTCTATTGTCGACTTTTCTGTGGAATCCTAACTCTCTTTTCTTTCTAGCCTGTCTCTTCCATGCTTGAATCTGCCATGCAAGTAGAGTAGGTTAAGAAAGAATGAGGAAGAAAGTTAGGACTACAGACCCGGCAGTGAGATTCCTAATTATGTTATGCCATCCAGAGCATCCCGAAGAAAAGAAATAGCCTATCTCAAAGCTTACACCAAGGCATTCATGCAACATATGTTAATACTACATAATGCTAAACATCATACAACATCCTAGTACCCTTTGCTACAAGTATTCTGTGTATCCGGAGTATTACCTTCAGTGATATCCGGCTTGCGGTCGATCTTCATCATCATAGGCACAGATGGCCCATAGACATCAGCATCAAGCAAACCCACCTTCAAATTGCATTTGTTAGCCAAGGCAACAGCCAAGTTTACTGCAGAAGCAACCGTACCGTGATTCAAATCAGAGAAATTGATGAAATCAAAATGAATACATGTAACAGTCCCTTACGCTCAATTAAATGAATCTAACTTTTGGAAAAATAACAACATTTGCAGTGCTCATGCAATCACTTAGAAGATTTCTAAGTAAGTACTTGAAAAACTAAAGCAATGAAGAATACGGAACATATTAGCGAACCAGATTATCCTTTTCAAAGCATATTGGATTTCTAAACTTCAATGAGTCTCCCCATTACCACCAAATAATTAAAAGTGAAGAAACGGACTTAGCGCTAGTAAGAAGAAACACCTATGGAGTCCCAAATCTACCAAGGTAGGTTTAGCAAAGGGAAAGAGGAAAGCAAGGAAATTACCAGCGGTAGTAGACTTGCCCACACCTCCTTTCCCAGAAGCAACAGCAATAACATCCTTCACCCCATCAAGTTGCAGCTTTGATCTGGCAAAAGGGCCAGCATAGCGCCTGATGCTGCCGAGTCGCTGCGGATAGACCAACCCCCCACAACCATTAGCATAAATGACAAGAAGAAACAAAGCCCTCCCATCTAGAAAGCAATAGAAGTATGCACTTACACTTAAAGGTCGCAAGAATCCCTTCATGAATGACCGCCCGAAATCCAGCAGAGGAACAAGAAATCTTGGATTGAAGAGGTGAAGTGTGAAAGTAAGTTCATTTTCCACCCACCATCACCGGACACGGGGGTGCTTCAGCTTGAGCAGTTTGCTTGGCAGAACCACCTCTGAATTGTTATAATATAGCAGATATTTCAGACTCTAAGTTATTTCCTCAACTCTTGACAACAAGGTTATCTCACCTCACATAAGCTTTAACTTTTCAGAAATCATACCAATCAAATGCAGTATAAAATTTTCCAACTGCTGCTAAATGATACTAACTAAAACTCCTTAAAGACTGACAAATTCCGTATGATTTCAGATTCAGATGAATAAGGCAGATATTTCAAGGCTCAATGCTTTGCAGAAACTGTTCCCAACTACCCAAAATACTTCCTTGATCACAAAGTAATCACCAAAAGTGTTTCCAGAAACATACCAAATGATGCATTAGTAACACATACAGTGAACTATTTCCAGCTGATTTTTGACTAACCCAAAACTACAGCACTGTTTCTTCAAAATTTCATTAACAGCAAAGGAAAAGAGAAGCTCCACCATGTTGAGCGGATTCTAATAGATTCTCTGTCATCTACCACTTACAGGAGCAAGAAACCAGGGGTATACAAAATAACATATATATCATTTAGGTTATAAGCCTTTGCATTCTTCGCCAATTACAGTGTTGAAGCTAAGAGAACTTCTCCTTTGCAACGAATATGGGAGAAATAATGTAAGAGCAGTGTAATAGTGACCATAACCAGAAAGCATTACCGGACTCTCTCTGTGTCGGAGGCAAAGCAACAGAAAATGACAGCGTGAGAAGAAATTGGAGCTGCGTGATAAGTAATAACTGATACTCACAGACAGAGGAAGGAGGAGGATGGCAGAGCAACAACCAGAGTGAGCAGTAGATCCCTGCATGTGAACAATACATTGGTAAATCAATGATTATGAGAAGAAAAAAGATGGACCATTTTGCTATCTAGGTGCAACTTCGTTGAACAACTTTACTAAGCAAAATTAGTGAATGGTCCAACAATCGTCAACTTCAAATGATGTTATGGAACAATCATCCGAGAAGCCAAATAGCAGCCATAGCTCCCAGCTCTCGATGAATTTACTTTCGGACAATCCCAAATAGAATCAGTAGCCATAAAGATGGATGTATTCAAAACCTAACACTACAAATCATAAGCTGCACAGTAATCCTTCCCAGCATTAAAACAGCAACACCTCTACTTCTTAATTCAAATAGAACGCAATCTCGTTTATGCAGTGTATATTTCTGGTCAAACTCTAAATCCTAGATGACAGCAGCCAGCCTAACTGGACCTTGTGATATCATCAATTGCTAGATATCTAGGTTTCTGCTCAAACGAGGAAATGGCAAAATGCAAAACAAAATTCTCCTCTTAGGCATTTGTATGAACTTTTAACTCCGGCACGGTGTACATTCCTACCGTCAGCATGTATTGTCTCATCCCCCACCCTAAACTGTTAGCATCTTCCCTAAAAACAGAATGCAATCCCATCTGCATTTTCTGTGTCCGAAACATGCCAACGTCTCATTTCCACGAATAAACACGGACTCGACAGGACAGCAAGAAAAATAAGCCATGTTGGCTACCAGATAATCAACTATGATGTCCCGCAACAGAAACGAATATCATATATCCAAACCCCCTTTTTCTCTAGTGAGGCAAAATTCTAACGGTAGCAATCGACTGAATAAGTTCCCACAAAGGCACAACATTTAACAAAGAATCTAAGCAAAAGAACTCTAACGACGGTTATTAAAGCCTTGATTCTGCAATATCAAACTCTAAGCAATTCTCCATTCTACCAGAACTACTCGATCAAAGCAACCGGCTAAACGATTTAATGACAGAATTCAGCCTAGGACTATTCAGGCTAAAATGGCATAAGCTCCAAAGGATATTCGCACTAAAGCTCCAAGCATATATCACAAAAAACTGCAACTCGGTTCAGTCTAAACATTATCTACAGATTTCTTTCATGATGCGAAAATGATGACCAAATCCGGCCATAAGATGCCCCCAACATTTGTTCGAGAATTCAGCAAAGCGAGAACACAATTAGGAAAATCATGGCCATTTGTGATTGGCGCGCAGCTTTGAGTTCCATTACCTGGCAACAGATTCGCTCGAAGTCAGTTGTTCAAAGTGCGATTCAAACGAACTTCATGGTTTTGCAGAGCGATCGAATTGCAAGGCAGGGAGACGGTGTCATTTATCCGTACAAGTTTTAGTACCTCTACTATTTTAACTCAATGAATAAGTCCTCGTACTATAAAATTTTAACAAAAACATCCCTCTGTTAGAAAAGGCGCAGAAGTTACCGCCAAAACTGGACGTGATTACATGAAGCAGGAGGAGAAGAGTTCAGTCTCAAGAACTAGGTGAGATATTAGTTTGTCCAATCTAACCTTTTCGAGATTAGAATTCGTCTTCGATATGGGCAAAACTCAAGCTTCCGGATAGGATGCCTTCATGGCGCGACTCTTCCAATCTTGCTTGGATATTGTGGATCAGGATGTTATCGAAGTAGTTCTAAGGAGGAGAATTAAACCGACACCGCGATTATGTTCAAGTTCTTGCAATTTTAGCCATATATTGAATCGTTAATCTCATGTGATACACAAACATTGACCAATGATGTGTATATCGATTTACGGGTTTAGCTAAAGATATAGCTTACACATTCCCCATATAATCTGCACTCCGGGCAATTTGCAGCGGAAGATGGATAAGCGACTTGGCTACTAGAAAGCAAGCTAGCGAGCCATATTTTTACAAAATACAAACACATGGGAGATTCTCTCACCAAGTACCGCAAGTCGTATCGATGAAGACGATGCGCGACGACCAGTGAAGCTTATACAATTTGCATCAGAAATGAGCCACGATAAATAATGGTGATTTGGTCGAGATGTACAAAGCATACAGGCAGGCAGACAAAGGCCAAGGCATGCATCCTTTTTTTCCCGGACTTAATCACCACCCTCAACAATGTGCAAGGGAAAGGGCAGTAGTATATGCCAGAGTGCGCAAAGAATCAATTTTTATGTTGTCTCTCTATAATTCTCTGCCTCTGGGTATGAGGATACAGGTTCCGAAGTCTATAACCTTCTTCCAATCGAAGCCGGACCAGAGGATGATGAAGCACGAGAAGGGTTTTTCCCGGTAAAGCTGCTACTTGGCTTCCTTATGGTGGTCGACGAAGCAGAACTGTGGGGATTTTTTCCAGCAATGCTGCTGCTTGGCTTCATAATGGCAGTCGAAGAAGTAGAACTGCGGGGAAAAAACTCACACAAATCCGCTTTAGTGTGCATAAGCCAAAGCCGACTGAGTAAAATATAATATGTGGAAAACATTCAGAAAGAAACTATACCCGATCCTTCTCTGTGCCGCACCTTTGTTCATCGCTGCAATATTTTTCAGTTCGTGACTGGCATGAAACCCAGGGCAACAAACGTAAAATGATCAAATTATTATCACTGTCAGACAAAATTTTCACCTGAGATCTTTTTACTTCACAAAAGCTGTACTGGAGTCTGGAATTACTTTAGAAACGAAAGAAATTCCACAGCTCCTAAAAACTGTAATACAAGAAATCAAGAATAAAGTACCTCTTCAGGAAATCTAGTTTTGCTTTCTTCATAATGTTGCTCTTTGAGTTTCCAAGATCATAACCACTTCCTAGATAAAGAGACATTTCAATTGTCAGGAAAATAAACAAGCTTCTATATTTTTTGCTCCACTTAAAAGCAGGCCAATGTATAATGGTTGAATGTTGCTAAATGTGAGACCCAAGGTTCTTTATATGTAGGAAGCTTGAGCAGAAAAATCAGTAGATATAATTGAAACTTACCCCAAAAGCCTCTTTTATTGCTTGAAGGTGGAACCTTGGAGCAAAGCTGGATTTGCCGACTTTGTTTCCCTGAAAATTTTTGTACATCACAAAGTTATCATGTAAGAAGTGCGGACTATGAAGTGTGGTATTTAAGGAGAACATGTCAGTTGCAAATTGGCAAAAGAGCTTGGATTGCAAATCGACAACAAAATATGTCAGGCAAAAAATTATCTTAGAGATGGATTACAAATTCTTCATTCACGAGAAATGGAGAAAAATGACTGGATCATCAAACTATGTCTACCAAAAGGGGTCACACCAATCACCATTTCTCCAAACAGTGCAAATTGTTAAACTACTCCACTTTGACGATCACCCATGAGTGATCACCATAAGCGTTCTGGGTGTGATGTGACCGTTCTCTGCATTACATGTGTTACTTCTCATCATTCTGATAAAAAAAATAGTTAATATTTAATTCATGATACAGTGACAAGAGAAATCTTCATTATAAGGTTGGAACACCCAGGAAAAAGACATACCATCAAAGTGAGGGCGTGAGGCACAGCAGAGAATCCATGACCTCAAAATTTTACCGAATAGAGAAAGTACAATTAATAGAGATACTGTTGTCTAGGGGAAGGGAGGCACAATTTTGTCAAATGGATGTTTCACCATGTTAAAGTTAAGTGGCATTTGCCACAAAGTAATGCATCAACTGGCTAGGGACTTGTCAGGCTAGGCAGCTCAGGCGCAAAGCAAAGTGCAGACTTTCTAAATTACACCAGACATTATGATGCAGTACTTATGCTATCATTCTCAACAACAATGTAAATGATATCTCTAAACATCAATGTATCAGACAGTGGTTCAATAGATTCTAGTCCAGGATACCTTTTCATGTTTTATTATATATTTTGTGGACTTTAAGGTGGGAACCTGTAATGTTCTAGCAGATGGCTTCATCATCAATCGAAATAGTGAGTCGTAGCAAATTCAGCCTGAAATGCTGACGTCCATGAGAACAAGGTACGAAAAACCTTGAAACTAATTAAGCACACTTCCAATGTGCCTGCTCAAATGAGAAGAGGCACACAGAAGCATGTACTTTCCACGTGCTCCTCACCCAACCCTTCCAAATAGCAAGGGGTGTGCTGAAGTGGCGGTTTTGACAACGAGTCCAGCAGGCACATGAAAACCTTTCTGTTGACCACTGTAAAGACTACAGGTAGTGCACAGAAGATCCACAAACAAGTTTAGGAACAAATCCCGAGTAAATATATGATTCAAATGAAAAAGTACATACGGGCATCTTCGCTTTTGTATCGTTCCCGAAGACGAGCGACTGCTTTATTTTCTGCGTCCTCAACATCCTTCACCTTTGCCTATAAACAAATTAATCACCGGATTAAAAAGACACGAAAGTAAATGTTATCTTCTGGGCAAGTATACCCTCATTTTTAGCAATGACAAAGACGAAAGTATCCAAGCAACTAGGAAAACGAAAGATCCAGAGGGAATAGGCACCTCATATAGTTGTTTCCATTGGAATGAAACTTTCTTCTGCTTCATCCTTTCAAGAACAAGATTAGTGCTGCTCTGACCGAAATGCTTCTCATAGAATTTCCTCCACAATGGATCAGTCACTGTACCAAGATCTCGCCCCTAAATATACATTTAGGACAAGCGATGAAGAAAATATCTTCAAGGTCCAAAAAGATGGAAAGAGCTACCAAGTAATTAAACGGGACGATGGAAAACTAAGGAAGCCTTACTACTGTACTCTTCTCCACATGAGTCAACTGTTCGAGGGTGCAATGCGGTAAAATCCTGCTAAGAAGGTGCGAATCAGTCTCTCCAACATCTCCAAGATACTTCACGTTTTCAATTGCCAATTCGACACAAAGATCAACCAACGAAGGAGCTCTCCTCTTCCCTCCCAGCATCTTTGTCCTCTCAAAGTTATTATTCCCAGTCAGAGAATGATGTTCTTTCTCAACACTGTTGGCGAGGAAATTAGAGACCAAAAAGGTTCTTCCATTAGTCATGCAAACAGATAATCTATAACATATTGATTTTCAAATCAGGATTCATATGCTGAATAAGCTATAGCTGTATCAGAGGTCCCCCCCCATCCTACAGACAGGAAAAACAATACATCACCAACCATCTGAAAACAGACCCACTGCCAATTCTCATAAGTTGCCAATAATTTCATCAGCTGATTGATGATACCAGCTGGCGCTCGCCTTTCATTAGATGGCAAACAACCATCTCCTTGTAATAGAAAAACAAGTAAAGCTTCCGATCGAACACATAAAGGGATCAAAATCGAGGACCAATTACTAATCTACAAACCGAGATGCTAAAAACGATCTATAATTCTCGCAATCCATGACAATTTTCTATCAACAGGAAGCAAGCCCAGAGATCAGATCGAAAGTTCGCGCAATCGATCGATTACCTTGCAACAGAAGTATCGGACACGCAATTCAGCCAGCTGAAACGGTAGCTGGAGATCCCTGAATTAGGAATTTGTCCTTTCCTTCCTTTCGCAGAAGAAGGCACCGAGGGAGAAGAAACTGGAGCTGTGATAACGATATTGACGGAGACAGGAGAAGGAGAACAACGGAGATAAAGAGAAGAAATTGGAGCTGTGATCGACGACAGAGGCGTTCAGCGACGGCGATACTAGAGAGAGAGGCACGAGATCCCTAACCAGAAGATTGAGCTCGCGCAACTAATTACCGAACTCACAGAGGAAAAATTGAGACTGCGCGCGGATAGAAAGAAACGACGTCATCTCGATCAGCAAAAACGTAAACGACCCGGAACGGAACCCCGTCAACTTCGGATAGTTCAGCGGTCGAACCAGTCTCACTTTCGGAAAATCTTTTTCAATCGGTTCTGCTATAATATATTGAACCGTTAATCTCATAAAATAGAGAAATCATGGATCTACCTATTATGTGCTTAAATAGATATGTTGGGTCAGCTAACTGCTATGCTAAGTAAAGTTTTGATGTTAAGTACACATAAACATCCTTGAACTGCCGAAAAGGTACACGGAGAGAAACAAACATAAGCCTAAACATGAACATAGAAGAGCTATATTATCATACTAACTACAGTCCTGGACTCCTGGTCCTCCTGGATACTAAATCTCCTGACCCAACTCGAACAATGGGATTGGGCGAGACCGGGTGAAATTTTCGTAGGGTTGGTCCTGACCCGCCAGGAAAAAACACATTCCAATTTCAGAGAGACATGTAAGTAGTAACAGAAATCCTATCATCTAGCTGCTCTACATCAGCGACAAAAGAAATCAGCCGGTTTCGGGTGAACTGAATCAAGCCTTCTTGTTCTTCTTCCTGGATTTCAGCATCACAGAGCCAACGAACAGAGACAGTAATGAGAGAAGGGCTACGCCAGCAAATACCGGTATGATAATGGCATACTCCAGAGGCAAGAAATATTGGTGAACGAAGTGACCATTGTCTACAAATGGCTGGAAAAGAAGAAGATATCAGCTGGTAACAAAAAGCGGTGACACATCATAAAATCTGATAATGTACGAATGATTAGAACATATGATCTTTTACCAGGATGATAACCCAGAAGGTAAAGTATGTAAAGATAGATAAGCTGATGAGAGACAACAGAAGCCCAACTGCTCTATCTGCTAACTCCATCTCACTAGCTGGGGCCTGCGAATACAATGGTGAATCAGTGACTAGGAGAGGGAAAAAGGATGGAATATTTGCTATTTAGGTGCAACTTCCTTCAACCAACTTTACTAAGCAAAATGAGTAAATGGTCAAACGAATCGAAACAAACTTAAAAGAATGATGTGAAACAATAATCTGGGACACCAAAGAGCAGCCTTAGGCCCCAGCTGTCAATGAAGTTACTTTCGGACAACCCTAAATAGAATCAGGAGCCACAAAGCTGGCTATATTCGAAACCTAACCCCGCAAATCATGATTTCTGCTCAAACTCTGAAGACTGGGTGACAGTAGCCATCCTAACTGGACCTTGTGATATCATCAATTGCTAGATATCTAGGTTTCTGCTCAAACCAGAAAACGACGCAAAACGAATTTCTCCCCTTAGGCATTTACATGAACTTTCAACTGATGAACATTCTTACTGTCAGCATCTATTGCCTCATCCCCACCCCAAACTGTTAGCATCTTCCCTAAAAACAGGATGCATTCCCCATCTGCATTTCCTTTGTCCCTGGAACATGCCATTGTCTCATTTCCATGAATAAACACTAACTCGAATGACCAGCCAGAAAAAGGAAAAAAAAAAGAAGCCATGTTGGTTACTAGAAAATCAAATAAGGTTCCCCGCAACAGAAACAAATATCATCTATCCAAACAAGCCTAGACATTAAACTTATGCAACAGTAACCGACGATTAAAGCCCTTGTTAGCATGACAGACCTAACATACATTTTGTTGGGAAACCTGCATCCCCATGCAACCAAGTAACTTAAGAAAATGACATGTTGTTGCTAATCAAAACCCCAAATATCTAGTGAGGCAAACTTCCAATTGTAGCCATCAACTGTAAGTTCACACAAGGCACATCATTTTACAAAAAAATCCAAGCAAACGAACTCTTTACGATTTCTGTTAAACCCTTGATTCTGCAATCTAAACTCTAACCATTCTCCAGTCTACAAGAACTACTCAATCAAAGCAACTGGCTAAACAATTCAATGAGAGAATTCAGCCTTGGGACTATTCAGGCTAAAATGGCATAAGCTCCTCAGGATACTCGCCCTAAAGCTATCAAGCAATAACCACGTAAACTGCAACTCGGTTCACCCTAAACATCTATTTCATTTCGAGAAAAGATGAACGAATCCCGCAATCAAATGCCCCCGATAAAAGCTCGAGAATTCACTTAAACCAGAACTCAATTAAAACAATCACCGACCAATCTAAAGCCACAAAGAAAAATTCGTGGGAAGCTTTCAGTTTCTTTACCTTGCTACAGGTTTCTTTCGAAATCAGTAGCCCAAAGTGCGATTCAGATAACCTTCTAGATTTTGCTGAGCGATCGAATTGCAAGAGAGAGAAAGAGAGTCTCTTCCGACGGCTTAAACTGTGATTCGCCTGCGCGCCGAATGGCGATCTGAAGAGAAAGGCATGAATATGTACATTTTCAGTACCTCTACCATTTTAATTCACAGAATAAGTATCCCTCTTATTAAATTTTAACAAACAAGTCCCTCTGTCTATAGTCTGTTCTAAAAGGCGCAAGCTTTACTAAAACCGGACCTAACAACATGAAGGAGGAGGAGGAGGAGAAGAAACAAACTGCAATTCCTCTATGAGAAGCGCCATAAAATCTCTGCTAGCTCCAAACCCAGCTGCAAATTTCGAAGCTTACGTATCGAAATGTTTGTCTCTACTCAAAACCATTCCAATCACTCAAGGAACCGTCCTCCATGGTCATTTGATCAAAATCGGTACTTCCTCCGAGAGGTACCTCTCCGTGAAGCTCCTGATAATGTATCTAACTTGCCGGAAACCTGCGGAAGCTCGTCAGGTTGCGAAGGAATTCGACCCATTTGATCTCGTCGTGCAGAACTGTTTCATAAATGCCAGCCTACAGTCAGGGGAACTTGACAAAGCTCGCAAGCTGTTCGACGAAATGCCCGAGAGAAACGAGGTGTCATGGACTTCGTTGATTTCAGGGTTCATGAAGGCGGGGAGAGTTAACGAGTCATTGTTGTATTTTTGGAGGAACCCATTTCAAAATGTGGTTTCTTGGACGGCGGTGATTAGTGGGTTTGTGCAGAACGGGCTGATGTTCGAGGCTTTGAGCATGTTCTTGGAGCTCTGTCAATCAGAGATCAGGCCGAATGAAGTCACGTTTACATCCGTTCTCAAGGCATGCTCAGAAACCGGTGAGTTCAGGTTAGGGATGAGTTTGCTGGGTTTGATTATCAAGACTGGAAATGAACATAAACTATCAGTTTCCAATTCTTTGATCACGTTGTTCTTGAGAATGGGCGAAATGGATTCAAGCAGGAGAGTGTTTGATAGCATGGAGAAAAGAGATGTAGTTTCTTGGACAGCCATATTAGATATGTACGTTGAGAACGATGATTTGATCGAAGCGAGAAGAATCTTTGATGGGATGCCTCAGAGAAATGAAGTTTCATGGAGCGCAATGATTTCCAGGTATAGCCAGAGTGGCCATCCCGAAGAAGCATTGAACCTCTTCCACAAAATGGTACGAAAGGGAAAATTCATTAATGTATCATGTCTCTCTAGTGTTATAAACGCATTGACCACAGTCAAGGCTCTGCAAGCCGGGATGAACATCCATGGCCATACGGTGAAAATCGGGATGGAGAGAGATGTGTACATCTCCAGCTCCCTTATTGATCTCTACTGTAAATGTGGGCAGACTAGCGATGGACGGTTTTTATTCAATTCTGTTGCAGAGAAGAATGTTGTCACCTGGAACTCCATGATTGGCGGGTATGGACTGAATGGGCAAATGGAAGAAGCCAACTCGTTGTTTGAAGCAATGCCTTCACCTAACAATGTCTCATGGAGTGCTCTGATTGCCGGTTACTTGGATGACACACAATTCGACAAAGTGTTTGAGCTATTCAATCAGATGCTTTTGCTTGGAGAATGGCCAAATAAATCCACATTCTCCTCTCTGCTATGTGCTTGTGCAACCACCGCTTCTTTGGAAAAAGGGAAGAACCTCCATGGCAAAGCAATCAAGCTTGGGATTCAATCGGACGTGTTTGTAGGCACTGCTCTCACTGACATGTATGCGAAATCGGGCGATGTGGAGGGTGCCTGTAAAGTGTTCAACAGAATGCCGCAGATAAATGAGTTCACTTGGACTGTGATGATCCAGGGGCTTGCCGAGAGTGGATTCGCCATCGAAGCCCTCGAGCTGTTCGACAAAATGGACAGTAGAAATCCACCTAACGAGCTCATGCTCTCCTCAATACTCTTTGCCTGCTCCCATTCTGGCTTAGTCAGCAGAGGACTCCAATACTTCAGAACCTTCGAAACAAAATTGAATGGTTCACACTATACGTGCCTGGTCGACATGCTATCGAGAGCAGGGAGACTGGAAGAAGCTGAGGAGCTTATCGAATCAATGCCAGTTGAACCAGAACCCTACGCATTGGCAGCTCTACTGAGCGGGTGTCAAAGGCATAAGAACGAGGAGCTGGCAGAGAAAACGGCGAAGAAGTTATGGCGAGCAGCAGAGAGAGACTCTGGAGGGTATGTAATGTTGTCGAACTTGTATGCTTCAGCTGGGAGGTGGAAAGATGTTTTGGAAGTTAGGAAGCTGATGAAGGAGAAGGGATTGAAGAAGAATGGAGGCTGCAGTTGGATTGAGCTGAAGAACCAAGTTCATTCATTCCACTCTGGAGATGGAGCTCATTCTCAATCCATCGAAATATATGTTGTTTTGGACCTATTGATGTATGAAATGCTTCCTGTTTAAGATGTCTTCTTACACTTGTTATTCATGAAGTGCAAAAGAGATGTCACAAAAAAAATTATATTCAAAGTATTGGAAGATGCTGTTAGATGGTCATCATAAATTCAAATCGTGAAATAGTAAAGTCGTAAGGTATTAAGATCTAAATCCAAATTTCAGCAACATTGTTACAGAGTGCTAAACAGCAGTCACAAAAGCTTCAAACTATGGATGTGCTGCAAACCAGTGGATCTATAATGATCAACACTTTGACACCAGTTTGTACAGAGAAAAAAACTGGGTATTGCATAGTCTGATTTCACTACCCAAAGTACCAAAAGGCTACAAAAGTTCCCTTATTTTTTGAACAGATGAGGGATAGAAGCTATCACCTTAGCTAATCGAACCATCATCAGCAATCTGGCAATGATCACTCGCATTTCCATATTTCAGTTTTGCAGTAGATACTGCATTACATCCTTCCTTAGCAATCCACCAAAACCACTTGCGCTGATTACAGGGCTTCGCCCAAACATCTCAGGACCCATCCAGCTGTTGAGGTGCCTGTATTGCGTTGTAGTTCCAGCAGGTCTTGGCGGCCTGATCATCATTGCGATAGTAGGGAACGGCTTAGACCATGTGGCTCTATAGGAAGAGAACAGATGCCTGTTTGATGATTCACCATTTCTGGATGACTGGACGCTGCTGGAAGAACTCTTTAGGTTGTTGGGGCTGCTGCTTGACTGTGTTATCTTTCGTATGTTCGATGCCGCGACTTCATCATGAGGGCGGATCCCAGCAGAAGGTTTCATTCTATCGAGCCATCGGAGAATCCAGTTGCCAAGGTTCCTGCCAACTTCCAAGTCCCTCTGTTGTATGTTCTGATGTACTGAAAGAGCAGCACTGAAAACTGCACGAGTCCGCCTGTGAGAAACAAAGAATTGAAAGGAACGATCAGATGGTAAAGTCTCTGACTAGAACAATACAAAATGTAGCAATATACTGACTAATAAATCCAGCCAGATGAACCCAGCATAAGCAAAAAGACAGAACTTGTGATGCCATAATAGAACCTCGTCGCCAGCATTAACCACAAGAACTTCTTCACAAGGGTTCCCGCAGTGCAAATATAGCTACAAGCATGTTACCATGAACACTACTTAACCCGATAAGCTCGGTTCATCAAGCAGCGAAAACAATTGCTCATCAGTATAGGATAAGATCTCATCTTGTCACCCCAATCCAATAATCCCAAAAAATGTTGCTATTAGTTCCAAATTAGAGACTACTGTCCATGTATTTGTCAATTAGACACCATGCATATACCTATTACAACCTATATACACGACCGTCAATCAATCCCCCTCATCAAACATGAATAGTAGGGGATTACAAAGCAAAATTCACCTCATTACCCGGATATTAAATAAGCTCTAGATGGTATCTGAGATCTTACACTGCCAACCCTACAGAACATAGAGCTTTAAACAAGGGATACCGAGAAGTTCTGTTATTCAGAGAATCAGAGTTCAGATTTCTTCACTACCATGGTATAAACACCTCCACTGCAGAGTCAAGACTGATAATCGAAAGCAGCAACTTCTCTTTACCGATTAACCACTGGTTTTCTAGTCCCTTCGAATCATTTCATGCAACTCTTTCCCTACCAAGTTTCTACAACTGCATTCCCTATTATCTTCTGGTTTCTCCCCTTCTTCATCATCCAATCAATCGTTTGTTAAGCAAAAACTTCCCTCTCCGGCTAATTAGCAACCTAATCAATCCTTCAGCTTAATCGCGATTCAAGCATCCATTATGACTTCTGAACGATTTACCACAAGATAACGGAAAGGAACCGAACAAATCGAACATCGAAAAATCAACAGAATCAATCGATGTAATGCGAGAAAATGGATGCACATAAAGAAAGTGAGTGATTAAGAACGCACCTATGGAGAAACTCGCGGATCTTGGGGTGCTTAGGGCTGACGGCCTTGCGTTGTAACTTGAGAGCGAGCCTGTAAGTCCGCTTCAGCCCCAAGAAGTAAGCCGTCGCTAGCGTGATCTCCCACAGCACCATTTTTCTTCCTTGGTTTTCTCTCTGGTTCTTCTGCTTTTTTTCCCGCGCGCTTTCCGATTCGTCAAACGGTCTCTGGCGAACGAACGAACGAACGAAGCTGGAATGATGAAGAAAAGGGAATGAAATGAAATATATGGGAAGAGTGAGACTGCGGTGGTGGAGTGGTGTAAGAATATGCGATTCGTTTCGTTTGCCGCAAGTTCTGTCTATTTCTGATGCGAGAAAGGTTGAAATGGGTGAAGGTGACCACCGGCCAATTTGTTTCCTCTTCCCCACGGATTTGCTGACCGTGACCAGTTCGGTCCAGAAGTCAGAACCCAGGCAAATCTAACCGGATTGATATAGTTCTGGATTGAGGTAGGATTGGAATCAATTCAAATGGCATACAAGTTGTCAAATTTGGAACCGAACCAAACCATTACCATGTTGAGCACTTCTACTATGCTATATAGTATTGATACTTTAATGTACAACTCAAAGTTGTACCATAACATTAAATGTATAAGTTTAGGTTGTACCATAAAGCAATTTGTATCATTATGTTATGGTACAACATTACAATTTCAAGTTGTACCATCACATAAAGGTACAAGTTCAAGTTGTACCATAAAAGAATTTGTACAAAAAGTATAGGTACAATCTAAAGTTGTACCATAACATAAATGTACAATTTTAAGTTGTACCATAAAAGCAAAAACCTATAACACCAATACTATATAGCATTGTAAAATTTCTATACCATGTTACATTATTATGTAACAAAATTGGATGATCTTCAAGGAGCATATGTTAATTTTCAACGAACACGTAAGATAATAGCAGTATATCTTATATAAAAAGAAAAGATAATAACATTATATTTCTATTACCTAATAAGTTACGAGGTGACAATAATAATATTTTGATGAATGAGAAACAAGAGTTAATTTAGGCCCAGGTATGTTCAAAACAGGACACTCCAAACAAATTCATAAGAAATAGGAGATTTTCTTATGGGGTCTTATTTTATATCGGATGGTATTTAACATGAACATTATATTTGATTTCGATTTTATGTCTAACTAAAGTATGAGTCAAACCGATTTTCTTATTAGATGGCGGGTCTAGATACGGATTGATTGGGTTGGCTCATAGTGGTGACCATGACGGAGAATGGCATATCTGTTGAGTGCTCCAAGCATATGCTTTTGGGCTTTTGCAGCCCAGAAGTGAAATCACAGCCAATTGAAACCACTATTTTCTTGGCTTGACTATTGAGTGCCCCAAGCATTATTCATAAATCACATATTTTTTTTTTTTACATATGCAATTATTGTTTGTTTGATTTGACGTAAACTATTACTCAAATTACTATCACTCAAATTTGTATGATAAAAGAATTTCGAATTTTAGTATAGATTGTAGAGATAGTTGGTATCCGTGTTTCTCATGTATGTTTTTCTTTATATGTATTGTATCAGAGTTTTGTGTCGTCATTGCTCTTTGAAACTTCTGAAAAAAGAAATGAGATATGTTACATCCCATCTATAAAAATCTATACTAATTTAAGAATATTACATGGCTTCTGCACATTTAATATTGGAATTCAATACGTACGGCCGTACGGGGTCGTTTGGTTTTGATGATTGTTTGGTTGTGATAGTTGCCATGTATGTATTGTCCACAATGCATTGTTTGCTTGATCTGATGGAAACTATCACTCAAAATGAGTGATAGTAATATCCCAAGTTTTTTGTGAGATTGTTGAGATTGTTTGTTTGAGATTGTTGGAGTGTTTTATTCTTCCAATTATGTCCCTACCTTTTGATGTGTTTTGCTTTTTTTATATTAAAAACAAAGGGTAAAATCGACATTTCACCCAAAAAACAATTTATCTTATTTAAATATTAGAATAACTATCACATGAACCAAATGATGTAAACTACAATACATCAATTTTCTTATATGCATGTATATTATTATGCATGCATTGTTAACAATGCATCTATTTAATTATCACCAAAACCAAACGACCCCGTGATATGTCAATCAATGATATTTGGATTATGATTTTAAGATTATCTTTCATTTTTAAGTTAGACTAAATTCTAAATTACCTATTAAAATTCAATTAAAATATAAAATAAAGTATCAAGCACCATAAAAATACTTCCAAAATACTTAGGGGTCGTTTGTTTCAAGGATTTTATAACGAGGATTTTGCCATGGATTTGTTAATTAAAAATCTTAGGATTTATTAGGGATTTTGGGCATTATGGATTTGAGGAAATCCTTTATTTGTTTGTTGAGCTATTTTTATCATGGTTTTTCAGCTTGTCTCCAAATCCCAGGGTATGAGGTGGAATTTATAAAATCGTGGGGCCCATGGATTTGGAGCAAAAAAAAAAACTCAAATCCGTGGGGCCCACAGATTTATCTAAACATTTTTTGACAAAGCAAACAACGGATTGTGTGTAAATTCATGATGGTTGGTTTTTTTGTACCAAATCCATGATGCAAATCCTTGAAGCAAACGACCCCTTAGTGGACTAGCTAACCATAATGGAAAGTTTTAGTTTTTATATTTAAATGTCGTGTATATTTTGTATTTAAAAAGATAAAAATAAATTTGTTTAATAGTTATAAAATACCATAGTTCAAATCCTAGCACTTATTCATTTTTATTTGAAATAAATAAATAATGCTGAAAAAAAGGTCTATCATACTTTCATTCTCGTATCAAAAAATTTAAAATGGAACAAACCAAAATTTAAATAAATAATCTTGACTTGAATAGATAGACTAACTGACTAAGGCCTACTTCTTTTTTTTTTTTTTTTTTTTACTAAGGCATACTGCTGGGTTGCTCGCATTGGGGTTGGGTCAAATTGGTATTGTCTCAACCTCAAGAATGAAATATCTGTGTGGGTGCCTAAATCTCAATCTATTTTTTTGTATTATATAATTTATGAAATAAAAAACCGAATCACATCATATCCGGTTCGATTCAATTTACTCTTTGATGATATAGTCCGAATTAAATATCGATTTGATCCAGTGCGATCCGATACAGACCAAACCATCGCACACCACTATCAGTACCGGTGACCACGTTGCATGTCTTTAATTGAAAGACTATGTTTTCAAAACTGGACCGGAGGTTGAACCGGAAAAATTAGTGGTTTAGGGTTCAGTGATTAACCGTTGCAAAACCGTTGGTTAACGTTGATAGAAGAGTTCATGATATATAGCATATAAGACTTGTATATTACCCTAATTTAAGAATGAAGTTATCATTGACCATAAACAATTCCAAATTCATATCATGGCCAAACTATTTAATAAATCATTCAAACCGTCTCACAAGAGAAATCATAATTTTTTAAATTCAAATTAAAAATTACAGTGCTATCGGTAGTGGACAACAAGGTTGGAAAATGAGAAGAGAAAGCAAATATAAAATTAATAATTATGCTTTGATGATCTTAGTTTACGTTAAAGTATTACAAAAATTGTGGTTAAAAATAGTGTACCAGTGGATCAGTTAAAATCGTGGTGGTTCATATGATTTTATGTTGAACCGTAAAAACCGTTTGGTCCATCATTAACCGTCCAAACAATGACTGGACCGCTATCGCAACTGATTTAGTAGTTTTACTGTCCCAGCCGTTGATCGGTTCGATTCTTATAATAACAATGTTAAAGGACAAAACAGTAGATTTAAACGGGAAACCATCGATTAAATTTGAACTGAAATGACGATGAAGAAAGAAAAGACGGCAATCCTTCCCCCTCTTCTCTTGTACTTCTCACTCGCACTTTGATCCGCTCAACTTCTCTCTAATCATGGTAATTCCTCACTAACATGAATCATCCATGCTTAGAAAGACAATCCATACTGTTGCTCAATTTGTTGGAAAAGATTAAATCATTACATTTTGGTATAACTTAATTACGATCCAAATTTGAAAACAAAAGGAAGAATGTTCAGAATGAACTTAGTCCATTGATTAAGAACAATACCCTTCATCGTTTGATTTCACCCCCTCAACTAATTATACCGAAAATGGAACATATATTAGTGAAGCAAGAAAGATTTAAGAATTTGTATCAAAGAGCCAGAATACAGATCACCAAGCAACATGCTTATTTAATTTGTTAGATAATCATCATAAATCCAGCGTGGTGGGTGTTAATTAGTAGATGATTAACATGAATTAAAGTATTAACCCCATTTGTCGATTGCTTGTTTATTATTATATTCAAAAGCTCGACGTGGAAGGAATCCAATGATCAGAGAGAGCGCAGAGCAAAACGAGTAGTCGAGAAACCAAAAAAACAAAGAGCAATAACCCCACCTGGCAACGTCTCTCTTTCTCCATCTTTTGTTTTCTCCATCCCTAGTAGCAATGCAGAGGCAGTCACTAGGCTCTCCCGCCTCCAAGCTCCACTTCCATGGCGGATCCCTTCCCAAACACGACGACGACGCTGAGGGTTCCGCCCTCTCTCCTCATTCTTCACTGCTCCTCGATTGCGACGACCGCCGCCTCAAAACAGCCAAGGGTTCTCGCCGCCTCTCCTCTTCCGCCTCCTCTTCATCATCCTCGCCGCTGCAGCCGACTCCGACTCCGGAGAAGCTCGTCCACCTGATTCCGGTCATCCTCCTCTTCTGCTTCCTCGTCCTCTATCTCGTCTCTCACAATCCCTCCCAATCAAGTAAGGGCGTAAGGCCACCTAATCCCTCTCTATCTCTCTCTCTCTCTCGCTTCTCTGTCTCCCACCGTTTGTTCTAATTCCCGTCCTCTTTTCCCCCAATTCCCGTGTCTCTTTCTGCAGATTCGCCGGATTTTATCCGTTTGAAGCACGCAGGTACAATGCATTTCAATTCCGCCTCCCCCACCATTGTTTATTCCCATTTCTTTTTCCTCTCTTCCGTTCGTTTTCTGGAGATTATAAAAACAGAGGGGTTTTCTCCCTTCAGCTTCGATCGAGATTGATTCTGCCGTCACCGACAGCGAGCTGGGCAAGCTGAAAGCCGGGGAGGTCATCATGCCGATTCGAAGCTTCAGGAACTTGCAGGAGACGGCGGTCAGAGACAGGCGCAGAATGTCCAGCTCGCACCACCGGAAGTTCGCCGGCCTTTAGAAACGGAACTCCCCGCCGTCCGCCGCCACGATAAGTTAAAAACTTAATTTTCGTTATCGTCCACCGACAGCTCCCCGCTTGCATTGTAAATCCGCAAATTTAATTTTAATTAGTCGGTTATGGAATGTGGATTAACTTTTTGCTTGATGTGAGCCTCTTTTGGCTTGTGCGTGACACGTCTGGTTGTGATTGGGTTTGCAAACTTTTGGGGGCATTGATTGACTTGATATGTGGGATTATTTTTGCTAGATTAGAGAAAGCAACGTGATTAAGGAAGCATTTAATTACGATCCTTAATCTGTGGGTGCTGCTGTGTGTGTATGTGTATATGATCATCCATTATGCTTTCCAGCTGGAGAATTTATTGGGGAGACGGATGACAGAGACTGAGTGTTGTTGGGCTGACTTAGCTCAGTAAAATCCTCGAAGTGAGTGCTCGAGTGGAGACGACCGTTGGGATCTATCTATTTAGACCTGTCAGAGAGCGAGTGGCAAAGGGTTTTACTAAGTGGGCCGGCCCGGCCCAACTACGATGTCGTGTCTATAATGGGAACGAAGGTTGATTAATCTCTTGCACTAAAGAGTAATCTGCCTGATTACGAAACAAACAGGATGAAGGATCACTATTAAATTTTCAGCGTGCCCCACGAAAAAAGAAAAAATGGGATTCCTTAGCGTGTCACTATGTGGGCAGGTTAGCAGTAGATTGGTTTGGTATGGTGATGATCACATGGTTGGGCGAGAAAGAATGATGATGACTCCTATTGGTCCCACCCGCTTTCGTCTGAGGAGATGGGCCCACTCCATCATAAATTCCGTTAATTCAGATGCTGGCCCATTCATCCCCCGGCCCAATACTTAACACGTGTTCACCATACACCCGGCCCAACCAAACCTATTTTCCTATCGAAACATCTAATCCAAGGTTGGTTCTGCCAGTGTGCCGGTTTAGCAAGTGGAATGGTTCAACCGGTGGCACATACCGGTTTGTGCCGATTCATGCCGGTCAATATTACAAATACAATTTTAAATACTCATGTTTAAACATGACATTTAACGTCAATACCTAAACATTTATACTTAAATCCAACAACTAACATCAATATTTAACTTTTATACTCATAAAATAAATAATAAAATAATTTTTATCAATTAAATTCTCTAAAATAAGGTCATTTTACTTAAGAGATTCGTATATCGATCATGCCGGTCATACCGGTGGTGTCACGCCAGTTTTATGACCGGTACCAGTTGAACCCGGTACAACCGGTAGCACGCCGGCCGGCGTGACAACCATGATCTAATCCAAAGTGAGGAGGAGCTAATCAAGATTATCACAAAAGAAGACACCCAAGGATTCTCGGGTGAGACTGATAACTGGATGTATCTTATGAAAACGGTTTATGTTCACATTACATGAATGGTACAGGAATCTCGATAAAGAGAATGCTTATGTCATCGAGTGTTAACCAATGGAACAAAATTGCGCTTGCCAAAACCAGGGGCATAAATAGAAGGAAACAATGCTTACCGGTTAAAAGGAAATAATATAATTTAACTGAGCGAAGAAGATAGATCTTTCGATTCAGTCCTCATCATCCGAGTTGAATGTTATCTTCTTAGCCTTGGGAGCATCCGCACTAATCTCTCTGAAGTGGGCACCATACAGTTTCGATTCCTGCAAACCAATACCAGAGTCAAAGCTAAGCCGAAGATAATCTGATCAGAAAAGCTCTATCGTTGTATGACTGAGGTCTTTCTTTTTACCTTTTTCTTGACATGAGTACCAAACTTCAATAGGGATTCCGGAACTATCTGCTTCGCTTCGCGGAGGACATTCACTAGCTCGCCCGCAAGTCCCTGAGAAAGCCGCACCACTCACTCTCCACCATCAGTTTTCTAGCCCATGTGTCTACGGTCTATGCATATCAATAAATGTAACGGGATCTCACCTTATTATGGTGCGTGAAAAAAGTATGAGCAACGCCCTTCTTCCCGGCACGTCCAGTCCTCCCGATTCTGTGGACGTAATCTTCGGTAGTGAGCGGGAAACTGTAATTGATCACGACTTCAACATCCGGAACATCCAATCCTCGAGCAGCCACATCAGTAGCCACCTGCACATTCAATGGCAAAGTTCTTAGAATTGGAAAGTTTCGTCTAGTGTCATGAGGGAAGTTGTAATTTAATGAGTAGTTTGTATTTGTACCATTAAAGGGCAGCCTCCTGTCTTAAATAACGACAGTGACTTCGTCCGCTGCTCCTGTGATTTGGCTCCGTGTATACCAACAACCTTCCATCCACTGGTGAGAACAAGCTCAGTAAGTAACTTTGTTTTCTATAAGTAGAAAGGGGAAAGGGACTAGTGGAAACTAGCATTAAGTTTCTTCCCTTTCCGGTTCATTCAGGAAGCATACTAGCTGCCCATATTATAGCATCTACACAGTTTAATTACCTCCTCCTTAACATTCCCTCAAGGCGCTCAGCTTCCTTTTGGTACAATGCAAAAACGATCACCCTGTTCCTGAAACCAAATACAGAGAATGGATTAGTCAGCAGCTCTACACTGGAATTAAGTTTCTTCAAAGCTAGAAATGTAGACAACACAGAGCTTTGACATGCTCTCATCATTTTTTATATTCCCTCTTCACAAACATCTAAATATGTCTATATGAATTTGACACCATGTAGTAGCAACTAGAAGCGGAAAGAGATGAAAATTATTCGGAAACAATACTTTTGGGTCTTGTGATATTTTTCTAACAACGCAAGCAAGCGGTCGTCACGTAACCGGTCTTCAATGACCTGATATTAGAAGGAATGGTGTCAATAAAAACTTAAGAACAACAACAATGACCGCAACTCATGCTGAACTGTTGGAATCCAGACCTCAACAATCTGCAAGACGTCATGGTTGGCAGCTGTATCTTCGGAACCTACAACTACCTGAAATAGAAAACAGTTATTACAGACAGGAGCGGCAAACAAATTGGAACTGATGTGACTACTTCATAAGATGATCCCCACCTTAACTGGGTTGGGGTCCATGTGATCCTTGGCTAGATTGTGAACATCCAGTGGCCATGTAGCACTGAACATTAGCATCTGGCGAGCTTTGACAAGTTTCAAAGGAAGAGACAAAAGATATTTAAGCAGGGCCACACAGAAACTAATTTTTAAAGCTCAAGTATCAGTTTGAAGAACTAATGAAGTAGACATTATCAAGTATGGATTGATGGATTTACAAAATAGTGCATTCATTTTCTCCAGGCAGAACTTCCACATCTACTCAGTTTAAAGACCATCTACAACTCCCACAATAATTATTGCCTCTCTTCAACTAAGCATAATTTATTAATTTTTTACCTATTTGCACAGAGGAAGGGCTCTATGCGCAGCCGAATTGGCAGCCCTAGGGACCGTACAAAACTCTAAGCCTATGTACAGCAGCTACCATCTGAAGGCAGTCCCTGTTTCCTCTAGTTGAGACACACACAGAGAATGAAGAGAAGAGAGGAGAGAGATTGTACGAGAAGATGTTTTGCTCAGTATATGTTGCACTTCTTGCCGAAATCCCATATCCAGCATTCTATCTGCTTCATCAAGGACCTAGAAAATGAGCATGACAGATTCTCAGTCTCAAAAAGTCGCAGGGGGCTGCAAGAGGCAAATCACAATGGTACAAAATGCAAAATGAAGAAAATAGGTTCATTTGGCGTTCATATACATCCTTGTAAGGATCACGAGGAGCTATTCCTCAAAGAGAAATGTACAAGCTACATTCAGGTAGTAGGTGCCAAAATTGCACGGGACCTGTGTAGACTTGGAAACTACTAGGCAACAGTTCATTGTTATGAGAGACACAGAGCCAACTTAACGTATCAATAACAATGAGCACTTCTCAATGGCATAATTATGTCTCATCCAGGAAGTTACGCAAACTATTGGTTCATCTAATAAGACATACTAACTGTCTGGAAGCAGGCTTATGCTTAAGAAAACCTCACAGCATGGAGGTCATAAACGAGAGCACACTATAACTTAGCTTAGCTTGTGAAGCACACGAACAGTTTAAGGAGCAAACAATTACCACATAAGATACATCTTTAAGGCGGCAGACCTCCATTTCAATCAGATCTTTCAAACGACCAGGGGTTCCAATCACAATGTCCTGGGTGCAGAAGAAAAGAATGTAGCATCACGTTAACTACTAAACTGAATATCACAGTTGGGAAAATACTCACCTAAATCGTCAAGAAAATACCAGGACGAGCACAAGAACCATTAAGGCCTTAACATCATTTGAATTAAGATGCCGGCCAAAGAAGTATTAACAGAATAAGGAAATACAATGAGAACAATAGATCATACCACACCAGACTTCAACGAAGAAATTTGAGGACCTTTAGGCGTTCCTCCATACACACAAACTGATCGTATACCATTCGGCTCCCCAGCATCACGCAAGACAACAAAAATCTGCCTCACATAAAAAAAAAAAAAAATTTGAAGCAGGGTTATCGAAACATCCCTAGTTCTCATCAAGATCAAAACCTCCTTACAAGCTCAACAATACAGATTCATGGCGGGTAATGAATTCTGATACCGTTATCAATAACAATACATACTTGGTCAGCTAACTCTCTCGTAGGTGCAAGCACCAAACAGAGTGGAATTGCCCCTCTCTCCATTTTGACTTTACGCTTGCTCATTACGTGCATTATTGCAGGTATCCCATACGCCAATGTCTTCCCTGAAGTGCACACATCAAACACAAACTCAGATTCTCCGGCTACTCTTTCAAACAGGCAAATTATCTGTTCAACCTAATTCGCCAGAACTGAAAAGTTTACCTGAACCAGTCTTGGCAATGCCAATGAAATCACGCCCGTGCAACAAGAACGGCCAGGAATGAGACTGAATCGGCGAGGGCGTTTTGAAACCCTGGCAACACTCCAGCACTTTCTCCGGCAGCTTCGCCTCCGCGAACGACTTCAACGGCCTGTATTTGGAATCATCCGCATCCTTTCCAGTAACCAAAACCTTATCTACCTCGCCGCCTTCCTTACTACCGCTCTCTTCTCGAGCTCCGTCATTCTCCTTCCCGTTCACCGCCTCTGCCCCGCCTCCGTTTGCCTCCTCTTTCCCGCCATTCTCCTCCCGCTGCTTCTTATTCTTCTTCTTGTCCTTCTTATCCTTCTTCCTGCTTCCATTTTCAGTTGCTTCATCTCCTAATTGAGCCTCGTCGAGCTTTCTCTTCGCCTGATTTCCACTTGCTTGTTGTTCCTCGATTTCTGCCTCTTCCTGCTGCTGCTGCTTCTTCTTCTTGTTTTTCTTCTTCTCCTTTCTACTCGCGGTGTCGTCAATTTGCGGAGTTTCTATGTCTTTCAGTTTCTTGCCCATGGTTGCCACGAAGGAGGAGGAAGAACACCAGCAGCGAGCGAGCAGAGCAGGGCTGAGAGAGAACGAGGCGGAGCGAAGTCGTGAACGTGGGAGGTTTTTTTTTGTGTGGCTTCCGTTCTTTTTCTAGGGTTTTAGATGGCGGATGGCAAATTACGAGAAAGCGCCTGAAGTTGTAAGGGTAACTATTTGGATCCCAAACATGAAAGAGTCCATCATATCCACCGTTTTTTAGTTGTTGACCATTAGTGTTATTGTTATTTTTGACATTTCATGGTGCAAAGGAAATCAAGGGCCATTGGAAAAAAAAATTAAACATGGTAAAACTAAACAAATTAAAAAAATAATTAGCATGAAAGTCCATTGAAAATTTTGGTTCATATGTCTTCTTTTTTATCTAAACGTCTTAAAGCGATTCAAACCAAAGATCGGGTTATATGACATGGATGGTAAACCGTAACGATTATGTTTCGCTTGCACCTTAAATTCACGTGTAACGTCAATAGGGTGTATCGGTCATTGACCTTTTGTTTCATGAATAACAAGGGACTATAAACGTTTTCATATTATCCTCTACTAGGTGCCAAGGGTGACAAAAATGACATTTTTAGCATTCTAATCATTCTATTCTTACTTATCGGGAAGCCAATAGTGAAGAAATCACTCATTGATGACCTTCTTGCACAACAATCGCAAAGGGAGGGAAGTGACTGACTTTTTATTTGGCTATCTTGTGATTGTGAATCCAAAACAACACACGAGACCGTAATGCATCCAAGTTAGTCCAACAAAAGGGAGAGACAGGCAACAAGCCAACAACAGTTAATTAACATTGGACGATTGCGTAGATAAAAATATTTTTACATGAAAAAAAAAAAAATCAATGAGCAGCATCTTCTTCCTCGCAGAATTTTGTGTAGTCCTTTGGGCCCATCAGGCTTCCCAGCTCCGACGCGTTGCTGGGCTTCACCTTAATCATCCACCCGTCTTCATATGGGCTCGTATTCACCTTCATCATGTGTTGTTTCAGCAGCAGAGGTATTAAGTAAATGCGATTAATGCATCCGGGGGACAATTAAGGGTGTTCATTATCATTAATTAATACATACCAGGCCTGGGGCTTCACCAAGCTTGTCGTTGACTGCCACGACCTCGCCGGAGACAGGGGAATTCACGTCGCTGGTTGCCTTCACACTCTCAATGTTAGCAAAGCTGCCGCCTTGGCTGACCGCAGCGCCTACCTCCGGCAACTCCACGAACACCACTTCCCCCAAGTGATCCTACCAGTAGTTTACATTATATACCATCTCACGATAAAATTTAGTCCATAAAGCAACATTGAACAGTTGGAATACGGCACAAAGTCGATTATTGAAGAACAACACTCTGCTTTTCTACGATAAATTTAGTCCATAAAGCAACATTGAACAGAGTGAATTTGAGAAACAAGAACTAACACATGAAAACACACAATTGAGCAACTAACTAGGATTGAAATGGTTACCTGAGCATGATCTGTGATGCCAACGAGAGCAACATCACCTTCATGCTTCACCCACTCATGGGACTTTGCATACTTCAGCCCGTCCAGTACTGCAAGACAACACTTTCATCCCACTCATTACAAAATGCCATGAAACAGAGAGAAAGAGAGGATAAGATTGCTAGCAAGGACTCACCAGAGGAGAAGCATCTGGAGAGAGGCGCCAAGGCTGGAGCTTTGGAAGCAACAGAGAGGCCTAAAGCATTGGCAGTGGAAGATGCCCAAATTCTGAGTGCCATTTCTTGTTTATCCCCCTCTGGTTTTCTTTGCAAAAGATATAATTCCCCTTTGCTGGGTTTTCGTCTGGTCTCCAAAATGAAAGGCCTCTCTCTCTCTCTCTCCCTCACTCTCTTTCTTCTTCTGGTGTTATATCTCTTGGTTTAGTTTTTGCAGAGAAAGGGTTTTATTATCTTGGATGAATGGTGAGCAGCAAAAGCCTCATCTTCTTTCTTCCCTCTCTCTTCCAAGAGCTATTGCTCCTTTTCTTCTTCTTTTTTTTTTTTCCAAAATCGGCGCAACAATCGTTTGGGCCCTCGGCCCGTGTTTCCATCACCAGGCCCACGTTCCAAAAGCTGGTTCGCGCCAAAGCCCATAAATCCACCTGCGAGAAACCGCCACGGGGGAAGAAAAAATCAAAACCGACGAGAAAGAAATTGGGGAAATCGGAGACCAAAATCTCTACTCGCTGGCCACCGATCAGCCATGGTAGAGATCGTTGAAGTCGACGACGTTGGGTATCGGAGTTCCAGAACCGCAGAATTCGACAATGGCAGCGAGAAGAAGAAAACGAAGGAAGCGAATATGGTTGAGATCACTCTCAAAACCATCGGCCCTTCTCCCTCTTCGCGCCTCCACATTCCGTCTCCCGTCACGGTACCTCTCCCTTTATCTTGCTTTTTCGTAGTCTCTCCGCTTATGGCTTCAGCCTTCAGTTCCAAAACCTTAATTCAGAGCTCAGAGAGAATTTTATTGTTGCACTGTGTGTTGTTGGTTTTTTACTGCTGGATTATGCAAAGGATGGTTGTAAAGTACCAGTGTTATTGAAAATGCTTACAAGTTTAGTGCGGGACTTGAGGAAATTGAGGAAATTGATTGCTGGATTATGCTTCACTTTGAATTAGGTGCGGGACTTGAGGAAATTGATAGCTGAAAGTAAGAATCTTCCGGCTGAAAATCTGAGATTAGTCTTGCACGGGAAGAGGGTGGAAGATGGCGGAGATGATGATATGCTCATTACACTAAAGAATAATGGTAATTCCTTTTTATCGGTATCCCTCTCTGTGTCAACCACTTCATCGTATGTGGTAGATATAGTACCTTGAGTACGAAGAATGAAAGTAATCTTGGTGAGCTTTGGCTGAAACAAAGAGTGCCTTTCTTGCTTTCCCAAGAAACCCAGAAGGAAATCTTAGAGAGCATGGCTTGAATCAAAACGGAACTGGTTGGCTTGGTTTTCTCTTGGAAGCAAGTGTGTTTATCATCTACAGTCTTAGGTGAATCGACATTGCTCGTACTAGTTGCATTACTCAGCCTTCTGATCAAAGTTCTTAAGTGGATAGCTTGCAACTTCAAATCTACCTAGGTTTTAGTTTTCCAGCTGCTAGATGGCTCTCTAATTCAGCATTTGAGAACCATGTCAGAGATTTGGCTTAGTATTGTGATTTGTGAGAGCATTCATCCGTTTTATGCAAAATAAGTGATCTTGCTAGCATCGCCCACTTTCCATAAATCTTCTTATGTCTTTTATTATTCTCATTGTAGTTGTTTTCTCCAACTTTTAGATTCTTTGATTGTGGCTGTGAAACCAAAACCTCCGGCTAAGCATCTCCAGGATGGATGTGATGACGACGATGATCTGGTATCTCTTAATAAGTAACTGTCATTGAGCTGAGACTACTTGGTCCCATGAAATAACTTCTTGAGGAAATTTTCTGATCTTAGTTTTTTGGCAAGCAGAAATTTCAGCTGCCACAATCAACAAGTCCATGGAAGAGGAAGCTCTACTTTTTTCTTCGCCACAAGTTGAAAATTCCAGGCAAGGCTCCTGTGGTAGAGTTCTTGCATCTCAACCTACCAATATCAGACCCGTCTTTGTTTAAAATGTTCTTTGCTTTGTTATGGGCAGATATGCTTTTAGCTGGACTTTTCTCACTCTCTGCAAAGGTTTGGGCGGCTATTATTTTGTGGTTCATTTTTGCACCTGTTGCTAATAGATGGCATCTTGGTCCTTTATATGTAAGTTTTTCCACCTCTTCGTCCTTTCTAATCAATGCATGCACTTTCGCTTTGTCTGTTAGAGGTCATGAGACTAGTTAATTTGTGGGGAAAACAACTATCTCTCTCTATTCACTACTTGTGCTCCTGCCATCCTTGTAAACCTAAAGCCACACTGAACATTTAGACTATTTACATCAAGGGGAGATCTCAGATCATGGATGTACGCTACATATTTTATTTTGAACAAATAAGTTACCATTATGCAAATCCTGATCCTCACTCATCTGACTACTTAACTTTCAGATACTTGGCACGGGCTTTGCAATCATCTTCCTGAATCTGGGACGAAGGCAAGCAGGAGACGTTAGGTATGCACTATGGTCTAACGCGACAGACCAGCTTTAATGGCTTCCATTAGCAATTGTAAAATGAAATGGATAATGACTATGCTTAATTTACCCGTTTTCAACCCATGATTTACTTAAGTTCGAGTAAGAAGAGCTAACAAACAAATCTTAGTAAAATAACCTTGTCCGTACAATCTATGTTCACTGTTCTTTTTTCTACATATCAAAACACATCGCCAGTATCTCAATCTTGCACCTTATAGTTGTACTCGGTAACTTGAATTTAGAGAATGCAGCAGGACACATGCATGATTTATTCCGGTTCTCTGTAGTCTCCATAAGAGTTTTGGAGTGTAAAGAATTGCAGTTTCTGCTTCAAATGTGATCAAATATGCACCTTATAGTCCTACTTGGTAACTTGAATTTCGAGAATGCAGCAGGATACATGTATGATTTATTCCGATTCTCCATAGTCTCCATAAGAGTTTTGGAGTGTAAAGAATTGCAGTTTCTGCTTCAACTGTGATCAAATATGCACCAAACAATTCAACCTACGAACCAAAACTGGAACTGTGGTTTTTTCACGTGTTTGTTTTCCCTCAACGCAACTTGAACCTTTTGAGCTTCTAAATGGCGTCTTGCAGTGGTTCTTGTGCCATGCATATTCATGTCCATAATCTTCCATACTCCAATGCCTCTCTGTACTTCGTTGAATATTTTACCACGTTTACTGCTAGAAATCTCTGCTATATCCTGCATACTGGTTGATCGTTGATAAGAGCTACCTGTTTCTCTGTAAATTTTACAGCGCATATTCGATCTTCAATGAAGACTTCAGGGAGCTTCCCGGCACTCTGAATGCAGATCGCTTGGATAGAGATATTCGTGCTGGACAGATGTGAGCGAGAGGCTTTAATCGTATCCTTGTTGCTAGAGAAAACACAATTGCTAACGTGCACAGAAAATTTTGTTGTATATGTTTCTAACCCTACAGATTTACATGCTGTAGTTTATGCTCAAAGTAACAAACCCTTTCGAGTAGTGAACTCTGGTGTTTATATCTTTTACTGATGTCAGTATATATGTAAATGTGGCATGGGAAAACCGGGTTTTTTCTTTGTGGTACTGTATCATACCAACCAGTTGTATCAGTTTAAATCGTGATTTGGTATTCAAGCTTGTACGATCGTATTAATGCTTTACTTTGGTACGTACATGATCTTATCATTTGTATCGTCCGTCGCAGTGGAAGGACACTCATTTCTGATATCTTTTGAGTCAACTAGTGCTTGGTTTAATGAAAGGGATGTGCAGAGGTTTCTGAAACAGGAGTCGGTTTCAGCTTGTAGGATGTGGTGGGAAGAGTTTGGTGAAGACTGAAGAGAAATGGAGTTGTTGTTCGTTCCTCTTTTTAGTGGACGGTGACGAGAGCTTTGGGAGATGGTGAAGAATGAGTTCATCAACTAGTTTTACTTACTCTAACTGTACCGTATAAATGGATCACATTCCCACTCCTCACTAGTAGTGCTCCAAATGATGAGACTGCGAGCCGTTCCAATTGGAATTTGATGGAAGAGTTTTGTTTTATTTACGTCGATCGAAAATCGGGATATCTTGATTTTCAGAATCAAAATTTTAATTAAGTATCATATCATAAATTAAGTTTGATCTAATCTTAGATATTTAACGATTTGATCGATCTGCTCACAGTCTGTCGGATACAAAAAGCTCTCACCAATCTCTTGATGTGTTGTGCTCGTGGGTTGACAAAACTAAAAAAAACCCAGAAACAAGCATTTGAATTCAAGGGACACAATTCGTTATAGGTGAAAAAATTGATTGATGGATGCTTCTAGGAGATTAATTAGGACTAGGAAGTCAGCCAAAATGGAAGTTTTGTACAGCTCGCAGACCATTTTTGTCAAATGTAGATGCTGTTGAAAACGTAATATTTCTTTTTTTCTCTCGCCGAAGAGAGAGTAGTTGGTGAACTACACCAGCCACAAAAGGTCTTCTTCCTGTGATGTGCTGCCGCTTTTGCCAACAAATTTGAGAACTCATCGGTTGACTTCATTGATACACGTTTTGACTACAAATACATTGCTAGAGGTAAGCAGTAAGCGTCCATCTCTCTAAGTATAACTTCATTGTGTATATCCCATTTATTTCTTGATTTATAAATGAATTATCCAATATTTTTTGTGTGTTTGAAAATCGAACAAATAAATAACCACACAAATAAAAGCATGTTGATCTAGGTAGGGATGGCAATGGGTCGGGTTGGGGCGGGTTTTGTCAAACCCAAACCCATGGGTTTATCCGCCAAAAAAACCCGGGGTAAAACCTGTTGGGTTTGAAAAACTTAAACCCAACCCGCTGGGTATCCGCGGGTTCATGGGTACCCGTGGGTTTTTGTGGTAAAAATTTACAATAACAAGTTTCTTTCAAAATAAAAGTTTGACATCATTTTTCTCATACAAAAAACACCAATCTAGAGTATACAAGCAAACTGCAAATGATCAATACAAATTGTTCAAAATTAAAGATAAACATATATAAACAATAAGATTAATTGAAACTTCTTCCTCGTCAACTAAGTTTCTTCACTCTCCACTTCATAATATCAACTTCATTCTAAAAAATTAGAAAGAACAAATTATACATGTCTCCACAAACATATCGAATATTAGTTATTTAAGGAAGATATATTATTTAGAATATTAAATATACCGGGAAAGTAATTATATGTGTGTGGGCGGGTACCCATGGAGCGGGTTTACCTAAACCCAAACCCAACCCGACCCGGTGAATAGTGTAGCGGGTTTAAACCCGAACCCGGCCCAAAACCCGTCAATATGGGTTTTACCCGCGTTGACCGGATTGGGTCGGGTGGGTACCCGTGGGTTCGGGTTTTGTTGCCATCCCTAGATCTAGGGATGG